CCTTACAGCGTACACAAAGATTCTGAGCTGATCACGAGGAAGAAAAATCACCCATTTTTCACGCATAAAAAGTGTTTTTTAACTCTCTAAACCTGTTTTTATGTTTTAAAGTCGTGCAATGTCTAAGTTAAGCAGGAACACATCATTATATCTCATTATTTATTTATTTAAAAAAAAAAAATTAAAAATCGTTTGCCCAGCCTACTGTAAGAGCATTTTTCACATTGCAAGAATATAAACGTACCAAGCCTAGTTATCATATAGTTGACTCCCTGTTTAAAAAGAACAGACACCATTTTTTGTTCACATTAAAGTTGTTAAAGCACACTGTACCTCCAGTGGACTTTGTATAGCTTATGTGCCATTAAACCATTCACACTGAGCTCATAACGTATTAACTGTATTGCTTATAAATAAAGGAGCAATATTATTGTATTGCTACATTGTCTGTGGAACATGCAGATTTGACATCACAGTACTGAGTTTGGAAAAAAGCCCTAATGGGAACAAGCCCTTAATAGATAAAGAGTCAAGTATTTCTCACTGTGCAAAAACTATTGGGCTGTTGGTACACAGATTAAAAAAAAAAACAAGTTTATCTGCTTTTCACAAAGCCCATCAGAATTTCTAAATTACTCTGTCAGTAGATCCTTGTAAAAGGTGATGGTTTATTTTTTTTTAAAAGACAAAACAAATCTATGCATGTGTATTGTATTTATATTTCCCAGGCACAACAGTTCTAATTAAAAGTAAAAAATAAACTACAGAAAAAGGCATACGTTTATGGAAATTAGTGTAGCTAATCTTTCTTCGGTTTTATAAATGTCACAGTCACCATCCTCTCCTCCAGAGGACGTTCCAACCTCCTCATGTTAGTTCTTTTAATTATTATAATAAACTAATAATAAACGTTATTTTATATAGTGCCTTTAAAGGTGGCTTCTCAAAGTGCTAGACAGAATGTCAACAACAATAAATAAGAAGAATACACAAGATAAACAATTCCAATATACAGAGGAGACTGTGGATGGTGGTACTAAGAAAAGCAGAAGCAGAGGGGTAAAGAATGGAACCAGTTAAGTAAAGGGACTTCTAAAGAAGAAGGTTTTGAGTCTAGAGAAGGTGACTCTCTGATATCCTTAGACAGAGAGTTCCAGAGCTTGGGGGCATAACTGGAGAAGGCCCTGTCACCCATACAATGTAGATAGCCTTGGGGGACAGTTAGGACACCAGAATTAGAAGAGCAAAGGTTGCGAGGTGGGGAGTAGGACAATAATAGTTCAGATAAGTACTGAGGTGTCAAGCCATGCAGAGCCTTATAGGTGAGCATGAGGATTTTAAAGTCCACACAGAATTTGACAGTAAGCCAGTGCAAGGAATCCAGGATAGGAGTAATGTGATCACTTGAACTAGACCTGGTCAGGATTCTGGCTGCCGAAGTTTGGACATATTTGGCGATATTACTGAGGTGAAAATTACTTGCATTATTTCCTGGCGTGCCTTGTTTTAGTTTCCCTATTTAAGTTTACTCCTTCCTGCCTTTGGTGCTCAGCTTTGGTACTCGGTAGCCCAGTGGCCCGCCTACAACCAGGCTTCGGGAGGAAGTCTGAGGATATAGGCCTGTTTACGCTCCCCAACCCACTGAGCCTGGGGCCTGGAAGAGAGCCCCGTATTTCCTGGATTCTCGTCTCGTCAGTGTTCCCGTTTGTCTACATCTCCTGATGGTTCTCTCAGCTATGGACTTATGGTCTGCTTCCTGACTTCCCCTTGAATGTCCCTGGATATGTTTGCCTTTGGATTTTCCCCGCACTCTTGAATGAACTCCCCTACTTCACTGTGAGCACCAACAAACCCTGTGTGTCTTCCCTGAACCCTGGTCCTTTTTCTGGAATAGCCACCTCGCATAGGATCTATGCCACCACCCTCCATGATAGACCAACCCGGCTTCTGTGACAATAAAGACAATAAAATTTAAATGTGCCATTTATCTATAACCCTATCTTCAATCAAATGTTTTGTTTTTTATCATTTGAAATTGCCTATGATTTATTATACACTCATTCAGTTTGGAATCTCCCGCCTTTTCATTTAAAGCCCATCTCTCTGGAAACAACTCCCATACCATTCCGGAAAGAGAGGTGCGTGTGGACTGGAGAGGCAATTGCTATTTAACACACTGCATGCTCCACAGTACTTGGCTAATCAGTGGATTCTCAACTGTACCTAGAGAACCCTGGCCAATTAATTCCAGCCCTACTCTAGCAGTGCTCAGCAAGTTGTGTGCTTCAGCCGGGCAAATCACAATACCAGTCAAGAAGTGACCAGGCTTGAGTCTGTGATGTCCAGGCAATAGAGTTTAGCCTCTGCTCTGAACAAACCCCTTTACAGCTTAAGATATTTGGAATCCTCATTACCACAATGATTTAGGGATCCTCATTAACAGAATGTTTTTTTGATCTTTATTGATTTTTTTTTCTTCACAGGTGCAAAGAGTACAAAATGGTAGCTGAAATGGAAGAAATTGTAGCTGAAGGTTAAAAAACACAGTGGTTTTAACTAAACTCCTTCCAGTTCTAGTCTAACTTACCTTCATTTCTACATCTCCTCGTAGTTGTAGGTCAAAATAACCAAATTCATCCAGCACCTCTTTAGTTGCTGAGGAAACATGTATCTTCAAGGCTGCAGAAACAATTAATAAGAAAAAACAATCAATTTAAGTGCCACACCATGTAATCTCAGGCTGAAAGGAAACATGAATAAAACATTGGTTAATTTTCATATGAGAAAAATATAACATGTTTACAGAGGAAACAGTGCACTATCTTGATTACATTCTGTACAACCTTTGCTTGACAGTCAATTTAACATTCTCATGCTTGTTGTTTAAATTTAAAAATGTATAAAAGTGTCAAATGAAAATGCCTGTTCTTCTTATGAAAACAACCATAACAAACCAAAGACAGAAAATCATAACATGCAAAAAATACTTCAGTGAACCAATGGGGCAACATAACTTCAAGTCAGAGAATTATTTCAGAAGGACTTTGGATTGTGCTAAATTCTGCTGGTGACTATACACAGTTGTGGCTGTTTAGATAAGTTGCTGATGTGTTATTCCCAGAAACTGTTGTACTTCACTTCATATGGTTATATCTTTAGCCAGGTATGTGACCAAAAAACACTATGGAACATTTGCTATTAAACAACCTCTTAGTTGTAAGAACTTTATAATAAATGATTCACAGGGTGCATTTGAGAGGAGATACAGTAGATCTGCTAATCTGGTTTTGTAACGAACAGTTCTTTCCGGACCCTATGCGGATGACACAATCCGAAGAAGTGGGGAAACACTAGGAAAAAGTAATGCAGGAATACGGGGATGACAACAGGGGGGCGTGTCCAAAGTGCCCTGGTGCACGGGGGAGGTGTGGCCGAGGCAAACAATTCAAAAGTTATCCATAGTAGGAATCCAAAAACACAAGAATAAGTCCAAAGCCAGGTGATCCATCCAAACAACGAATTAAAACCATGAACCAGGTCGGAACCGGCGGACAGGGAACGGGAACAGAGATTAAAACCTTAACGGGACCAGGCGCTTCCAGGTCCCGGACTCGCACGGTGCAGAAACCAGATGCAGAGCCCGGATGAACATCAGCGCCTGGCTTTTACGGTGGACTGGGAACAGGGGTCAGGTGCACAGAATTAAATCCAAAGTGAAAGAGCCAGAGCGCCCTTAAGGAGGAGAGACTACAATCGTGACAGGATTCTTGGTTTGCAAAAAAAATAAAAAAAATATGACTCTAGTGGCTTGTATGTTCTAATCACTATTGGATGTAAGATGATCTATATGTGTATTTTGAAATCTATAATTCATGTAATGTCATGAGATCTCACCATAATTTTATAAAACACCATCTTCAGTGTACTCTAACCTAATACTGTTCAGTATGCAGTTATGAAACACAAATGGAACACAGCCTAAGTCTCTATGGTGCTGTGCTTTAAGATCTTTGGCTGTGTTCTTTAAATTTGCTTTGTTAGTCTCTGAAAACTCTCAGGTTTTTTTTCACCTTTTTCTGCAGTTCTTCCACTGCTTGACTACCCCTCAGGAATAGACAATTTGCATAGAAAGAGTTAAGTGGAAAGACGGAAAGGACAGTAGAAAATGAGCTTCTGTTGCCTTACATTTGGTCATGTGAGTTTCTGGTCTCCCTCTACACAAAAGTGAACATGACTTTCATAGGACTTTTTTTTAAACAAATTTATACAAGTTAAAATGTTGAGTATACACTGCTTAGTATACTAAACATGCTCTAAGAAATTCTATTTGATGAAAGGTTAATGTATGTTATGTAAGCTAAGAAGCTGTATCTATTGTTTACATGTGCTTTACATTGTACATTGTTTACATTGTTTAATGGATCATATTGACTACAATCTTACAATTGGTGGCACAGATCACTTACAGAGTGTAATCAATTTTTAAAGTATTATGTAGTGATATACTGTATAATTTTGTAGAAATAAAATTTGTCTCACCTTCTCCGGTTGATTCCATCCTTGATGCTGTGTTAACAGTATCTCCAAATAAGCAGTATCTTGGCATTTTTAAACCAACAACCCCTGCACAGACAGGACCTAAACAGATAGTATGGATAAGAATAACTATTCATTATATTTACAATATTAATCTGTTTATAAAGCACTTTTCTATAAAAAACATCACATCACCCCTAAAAAAAAGAATAAAAGTTTTTCTCAATCCATTTGTTATTATTGTAATATTGCAATACACAAAGTATTACAGGAACAAAATTAAGGCTGAACTGAACTTTGTCAGCTTAATCCAAACCAGGAAAACACTTTGTTTATGTAATAACTAGGACATAACAGTAAAATATTACGCCTACAGCTCACAATAGACATATTTTGTAATCTATAACATTTATGAGTGTTGCTTGGAACTCATGGATGTTGTACTCATTTTTCTCACTTTCTGTTTTTAAAATCAGTGAGTTAATATACTGTATTCAGAACTTAAGGGCTTCAAACTGAAAAAATAAAACTATTAGAAAAAAAGATTCATGATGTGGTATCAAGGAAAGTACAGGTGTTTTAAAAGTATTTAAGACATGAAGAGTTTACATTCTAGTAGAATTCCATTCTGTCCTTTGTAGGAGTTTATAAAGGGACTTAAACAATGATTTCTAGTCATAAGTAATTTCTGCATTCTCAGATACAAACACAGCATTTTCTTATTATATATTTGAAAATCTAACTGCATAAGGTTTTTGTTAACAGCCAATTGCATTAATGAAAAATAAATATTTTTGTAATTCACATTCCAATAATGTTATATCTGGCAATATTCCTAAAGCATATTACCAAACTGGAGATACTAACCAATACATAGTATTAAAAGTGATGGTCTTTACAATAAGCTAGCTGATTGTGCAATATTTGGACAAATGCAGAATAGTATACATCGTGCCAAGTTCTCAAGTTCCTTAATTCCTGTTTTTCTTTTAGTGATCTTAAGATAGAGCTTTAGTATCAAGGAATAAATAAATGTTTATCTGATTGTTTAGTGTATATACATTTTAGCATCCAGTTCCAGGATTTTCATGTTATGACTCTGAGGACAACTCAGATAAAAAAAAAAAAACATCTTGATTTTCTAAATGTAGACTGTAACCTCAAACAAATTAAATTAAAATAAGACTGCATTTTTTATAGATGAAGACATATAATATGGATGCAAATTAAGTAACTAAGATCACCTGAAAGATATTAAACAGGGCATGTCCTTTATTTTTTAAAAAAGGTCAAAACATAAGTAAACAATCCCTTAAAAACCTAAAAAGAATATAAAACATAAATTTTAAGAAACAAACCTTTGTTTTACAATTAAAGGCTGAGTAAGTTGTTTTGATTGAGTACAGGCCACTTGTGAATCTCCTGGAAGTGGTTGCTCTTTGTTTTTGGGGGGTCGGCACAGTCATGTATTTGAAGGGGTTGGTATGTATTTACAAGAAATAAAAAACATATGCTCAAAGGCGTTCACACATAACAATGGATGTATTTGTTTGGCAATGTTCTGCTGTTTAACTAGCAATATAAAGGGCAATACCTTGTGCAATTCAGTTCTTTGTAGAACATCAAAACAAATTAGACAACCTTCATTTCACTCATTTAATAACTAGAATTAAATGTGCTAAACCTCAAGAATTTGCACTAGCCCACAAACAATATATCAGGAAATATAGAATCAGGTTAACATACTTAAAAAGGAACTACCAGCTAACTTTTTATGGGACTCTAAATGCTTGCAGCCAAATGAACTATATAACTATATATGGAATATAGAATAACCACAAATATCAAATATTTATATTAATATTTATTTGAGTATTCCATATTCACAGAGATAGTTATATGGATGCTTATGTTTTTTTTGGATATATTATGTTTTTTTTTTATTCTAACTTTTTCATAGTTGTTTGTTTTAGAAAAGAAAACAGCCAGTACTAGGCTTTGTCTCCCCTGCTATCCTGAATTAGATGAAGCAGATAGAAAATGCAGAACGTGTTGTGTTTCTTTCTAATACAGTAAAAGTCGTGTGGTGCGCTGTGGTATGCAATTCACTCTCCAGAGATCATCAACAGGTGGCACTTAAGGTGCATTAGATGTTAGTGAAATGATTACTTCATTTATTCTGTATCTTTACTGTGCATGTTTAAATCGACCTAATATGGAATATAAATATATAATTTTACAAGTTGCGAATTTTACAATGAACATATGCCCCCCATCAAACACACAGACACAAACTTAATAACAATACAAAATGTATTTGCAAGAATAGTGACTAAATACATAAAAAAACATACTTGCAAGATCACATTAATACACTGTTATTTTAAAATTAACACTATGAGCACTACACTGTGAGAGATTCTGCCCAGTAACTCCCTCTCCCAAAAGTTTCACAGTGCCAACGTCACGTAGCTAATTCACAGCTGGATACAATTTGATCTTGCCTCGTGAAACTGAAAATCCAGACTTTTCTCAATATATTTACTAAAGTTATCCGTCTGAGTAATCTCACTGTGTTAAATAGCTCCCCGGTACTCACTGAATCTTCACACTCCCAGTATAATTAAAAAAACAATTGTGTTTCCAGGTGTGAAATATCTGTTGTAACTGTTATTACAATGCCGAATACCATTGCGATTCTCTCATAATAAAATAATATGCAAACTAGATTCACAATGTCTGATAATTGTACATATTACAGAATATCAAATACTAATAATAATATTAATAATAAAGTAATAACATGAATGAACTTCTCCAGGATGCTCGGAAAGAGCTTGGGAGGGATTGTTTCGTGCCAGCCAGCTAGCGCATTATCACTTCGCAGAAGGAGGAAGGAAAACTGGGTGTGGGCTTTTATCTTACCCTCCATCAATACACATTCCCAATAGTCACTGATACACCTTTAGCTAAGTAATTCCTGGTTTTAATCTGGCCTTTTAAATATGAAGACATAAAAGTCAATATGTCTATATATATTTATTAATTTTATATATCACAGTACTTAAATATTCATTTTGCATTCACTATCTCATAGCAGTACAATACCGTATGGTTTTAAAGCCACTATAGTACAGTATTTGTGAAATATTTTTCATAACCAAAATTTAAGGTCAAATTGTTTGCTGATTACTTGTTGCTGAAATTTGCATTAAGACAAAGTATAGATTTTCTTAATGTGGATGTAAACCTGAAAGAGGCACATCATGTTCACAACAAGCTATAATAATAAACTATTTTTATACATCTGGCTATGTAAAAGACACAAGGAATGCTCTGACCAGGACATGAACCCTGTTCCTAAGAGCATCCTACCTTACAATTTATGAGCATTTCATTGTCCATTACCACTATAAGAACCATAATATCTACAAGTGATATTTTTAACTGCCAAAATGTCTTTAGTTACATGATTCCATATTAATATTCTCTATAATATTCTCTATCATGAATCTGAATTAAACCTTTTTTAAAACAATAAAGGCATATTTCTTTAAATTAAAAAGAATTAGGTATTCTTAGAAAAGGATATAACAATATAGATTTTTATGAAGTATAAAAACTTTATATAGTTAAAACAAGCACATCAAAACTTTTCCAAAATAACCACCGCAAGTTAAAGAGTTAAAGACTTTGATACATAAAGTATGTATGAAGATGGTGAATTTATTAAAACTTTGGGGAGTACTTTGTATTTTTTTTATATTTAGCTACCACTACCATCTACTGTATGTACATTAGGTATATATTATGTATGAGACAGTATGGCTTTAAAGCCACTACAGTACAGTATGTGTGAAATATATTTTTCACTATTGAATTTAAATTTAAATTAACCTGATTACTCATTGCTGAAATTTACAATAAGGCACAATATAGATGATTTCAATGTGAATGTAAACCTGAAAGAAGCACAAGCCAAAGTATAATAATAAACTATTTTTCATATATCAAACTGAATAATGTTGTTTTTGTACAATGTACAATTTTGTACAATTAATTACAATTAATTTAATATTTAAAAACTGTAGTACACAGTTTAAAATTAATAAAAGCCTTATCAGTATACAACTGATAGTAGACAGTAGACTGTCCCTCAGCATGACCGGGATTCAAAACCAGGTGTTTCCTGACGACAGCCCAAATGCTTCCACACGTTAAGCTTTCACTGCTCCACCTGGCGGTTTTACAAACTAGTGCAGTCCGACAACTAAATATTTTTTCAAATGTGCAGTGCCTTGTGGAGTGTGTGGCGCAATGTACTGTATTATCCGGAGTGCATCTGTACTTCATTAAATAAAAAACTGTTATGGGTATTAGGATCAATCTTACTAGCAAAGATTAGATGTATGGCTGTCATTCAATAATAACAACAGCAACCTTCATGTTATTCAGCACTTTCATGTTTATTATTATTTATTATTATAAAATGATAAAACAATAGAAGCAGGTATACACAAGTGCAATAAAGTAAATTAAAATTAAAGTATAGAGTATAAAAGAGTTGTAACAGAGAATTTGAAAGTGCTGACTACAGCCTGTTGTTCTGCTGCCTGGTAGATCATTACAGTTCCTGTAAGTACGTCAAGAAACACATTAGAAATCGCAGTGTCCTGAGAACTTGAATTGGATACAGAGAGAAAGCCAGAGTTCATACAATGCAATGTGTAGGTGTGTAGGAAGTTAACAGTTGACAAATATAGTCAGGGGTCGTAAAAGTAAGCATGTGACCCAGTGCAAGGAAGCTAAAACAGGTGATATATGCTCATCCATCTTAATGTTTGCTAAGACTGTGCAGCTAAGCTCTTACAAATACTGCAAATTGCTAAGAACATATTTGGATACACCAATAAATTGTCAGGGCCATCAACAATCAATACTCAAGTTTTTTCAAACACATTTACAAAGTTAATAAGGAGACTCAACCAACATAATTTACATCTGTATTCAGATGTAAAAGGTTAGGTTCAATCCATTTCTTAATATCATCTAAGCAGTATGACCAAGAAGAGAGTGCTTGATTAACATGACATTCCATGCAAACACAGGTTTGGGTGTTATAATAAAAAAAAATGAAAACCCAAAGCCATACATGTGAGTAATATGGTCAAATGGTAAATTGTAGACATTTCAAAGAAATTAAACAAGAACAGACTCTTGTGGGATGCCAGATGAAATGGGATGATTAACAGTATGAAAGGCAGAACTGAGATCCAGCAGAAAAAAATACAAAAGTCATCAGTCATCAGTAGATCCCTAACAAATAATCTTCAAAAGGACTGTTTCCATACAATGAATTGATTTCAAACCCTGACTGAAATGGCTCATACAATGTATTTGCAGCTAAGTGAGTTTATAACTGATCAACCGCAAACCAGTCCATAACCTTTGCCAAAAAGTGTCAGCTACTTATTTATCATTACTGAGCATGATGGAATCAAATTTTCCAGGAACAATAGCTGCAAGTTAAGGGCTGAGGGAACAGTTACAGACCTTAATGATTCATTAGTGATGTGTATGATAATGGGTTAAAGAACTGTAAAATCAGAACACAGCAAGATTGTAGGATTCCACAAACTAGTGTTAATTTTTGTGACCTTTACAGACAGCTGCTCAGGAGAGATTCCATGAAACAATGCAATGTGAGGTCTGCTTAGCTTGAAAGCATGAGTTATTCTCTGACTCCAGAATCAAGCCATATGTAATCATTACTATGTTTGTTTAACATCAATACTGAATATGCAGATATTCTGCCAGCTGCCTCTTTCATAATGCACATCCAAAATTTCACAAATTCATGGGATAAAATAATCAAGGAGGTAAAAGTTAAAAAAAATGAGCAAGTTACCTGTATGTATTCCTATTCTTAGTCGCAGCTGGTCATTAGGTCGGTGCCGTATTTTGAATGTTTTCACCTGTTCAAGTAATGCTAATGCCATTCCAGCTATTTCCCTTGCATGAAGTTTACCATTCCGTACAGGAAGGCCAGAAACCACCATGTATGCATCACCAATGGTTTCCACCTGAATGTATTAAAATGGAAACAACAATAATGGGTAAAAGACGGACATATTTATTCTTCACGAAAAACAAAATGTTTTGCCAAACCCACCTTATAGACGTCAAAGTTGTCAATGATGGCATCAAAACAGGTGTACAGATCATTTAGCAGGGTTACAACCTATAGTAAGGGAAAAAGGAATTAATATTTAAACAAAAGCTTATATAAAAGGACAGTAATACCACATACTGTAATATGCTCAATTAAAGCAGTGTTATTATTAAGGAACCCCCAGTGTTACAAAAGGTAGATATGTTTGTTTAAATAAATGTAACTAAACAACTGCCTTTGTTTTCATGTTTTTTTTCTGGATTTTGGTTAATTCATGCCATTGCAAGTTACTTTGCTACATTTTTTCAGAAACAGATAATCATCTTAAATGCATGGATATAATATTAATAATAAACTTTATTTTTTATAGCGCTTCTCAAAGCGCTTTACAGGATGACAAAAACAATAAATAAGAAGAATACACAAGATAAAACACAATTACAATATACTGTGATTTACAGTACAAGAAAATCTCCACATCACAGTAAGCTGGCAACTGGCTGAAACACAATTATCTGCATCTGGAGGAGAGGCACATCAAAGAGAGGTTACAAAAAGGCCATAGAACATTTTGCAGTTGGGCACTGCCAGGAAGGAAACAAATGGGATAACATCTACACTATAACCACAGATGAGAATCGAAAGCATTTGGAAACTTATGGTGTGACACTACAAAACTTCGTACCGACTCCAATTAAAATGGCAGTTTTTGTTGCATGTAAATTTCATATTTACAGTATAGCCATTGGCACAAAACATGGCAATAAGCATGTTCGTGAGATTATAATAAAACAACTAATTAGGAGATTAAATAGTGTATGAAATTAAGCAAGGTGATGTAAAATAAGTTACCCTGTATTTTTAAACTATAATTTTTGTAGCATATAAAACAAGGAGACGTCCATGCTTTCAGAAACGTAATAAAGTTGTACCTGCAATGGTGTGCTTTCTGCTGACAATGAAGTGAAGCCAACAATATCACTGAAATAGATGGTCACACTGTCAAAAGCTTCTGCTTGGACGGTTTCACCTCGCTTGAGCTGTTCTGCCACGGAACTGAAATGGAGAAAAACAATTATGATAAAAGCTAATAGGTCGAGGCTGCACCCTAGCAAATTTCAATATATTAGATTGTTGTCATGCTGGCACAGCTTTCAAGAAGCATTGTAAAACTAAATTTCAAAATTCCTAAACAAATCAGTATAAAACATCATATTTCAATGGCAATATGGTTTAGATTTTAAATATGATGTTTTTTTAATCGATCCTTATGTCACATTGAACAGTAACAGAGTTGAGCTCGTAGGTTTTTGAAAGGAAAACCAAACCCTACTAATTAGAAACAACTAGCATGAGAATCAGTCAAGAGGAAATGGAAAAAAAAAGAATAGAGAACAATGGGTGAAGAGACAGCTTAAATATGAAATGATCATAATTCATTTCCTGACTCAATATGCTATCTGTAGGCTTAATAAATCATTTTTTTGTGAAGCTAATGCTTCTCACATTTATGCAATTCTTAGTTGATCCTTTGTTCCTAATATTCCTTTGTGCGTTCTGAAAAACTAGAAACTATACCTTCATGAATTTCAGATATGAAATAATTAAAACAGATGTGAGAAACTGTTTAATGACTATCAGTGTTTACATAATGGTGATATTATCAATGTAGTTAGAGTTGATGCTGTTCAATATCCTCTTTAAGATATACAACATGTTTCAGTGTATCACAAGATGCCTGTGGGTGCACGGGCACTAAAATGATCATTTTCTTTAAAAAAAATACCAATCCATCAGACACCTAGTACAGTAAGTAATAGTTATGCTGTCATATCTACTTGTGGATTTCATGTGCCATTTAGCTTTTCTGCAAGACAGTATTTCTGCTGTAAAATACGTGCAAGCAAAGTGTGGATGAAAAATGCTCAGATTTGAAAATTAGAATCAATTCTTCAAGTAAAGCATTGATTTTTGTAATGACTGTGATGTGGATTGCACCAGCCTTACATGCTTTGTTTACTTAATTTTAAAAAAATAATTCATTTATATATATATAGATCCAGATTTTTTTAACACAAAAATTTCAGAAGAATAAAATAATTTAGAACTTGTCAACTTGTCATTTCATTTTGCTAAATCATCACAGCCATGTTAAAATGAGACTATTAAGAAAAACTAAACACAACCCTAGCAAATACACAGTATTGATCACTCATAAAGTCTGTAATGCTTTGGAAGTACTGTAACTGTACTACAAGTACTACATGGACAGAAAAATCAATCTTTCTTACTGAGGCAAGATTTGATAGAGTAGATTCTCTGCTTTTCTTTTTTCTTCCAAGTAAGCTTGTGTTCTTTCCTCCACCAGCTTCTCAAGGTTATTGGCATATTGTTCCATTCGGGACAGCAAATTATTCAAAATACTTGTGCTGCCTTCTCTGAAAAAAAAAACCCAAATGCTTTTCAAATGTCTACTTAAATCAAATACTTATGCTTTGAAGAATAAATGTTACGAATATATTTGTATGACATACTGTAAAATATGTTGGCTGATTATATTAAAATTTTACTATATCAACATTAATACATCAAAATGTGTCACAGTGCCACAGTTTTGGAAGGAAACTTTGAGTGGAAAAACTTATTTTTTCACAGCAGTGAATGAAATATATTATTGAAATGAAATGTGGATTTAATAACAATAATAATAATACATTACTTATAATGTTATATTGTTTATGATATAATTACTAGTGATTGTTTTGTAAATTTTGGACCAGGTACACTCTGTGCTGCTGCATGACAGAGCAGAGGAAAATAGCTCTCACCATTTCACTGGAAAAACGACATATCAGTAAGATTACAACAGAGCAAAAAAATGTTGGGGAAATTTGTTACAGTTTCTTTTGCTATATTTTGTATTGGTAAAATAAATAAAAGTACATCTGTTTCCGGTTTGCCAGATCTTTTGGGAAAAAAAGCAGTGAAGAAAACAACAGTGACCTTGAATATTTAAAACAAATTATTCTTGGTAACAGAATCATTGGTACTGTAAAGAAAGGGGTGGAAAATGTCACTGAGAAAAGCACAGAAAAGTGTGGAATGTGTTGTTTTCACTGTTGGAAGAATGACACGAGACTGTATCCACATCAATGCTGCTTCTCATTAACGGAAAGACTGCAATACCTGTTCAGCTAGAAGCAAATCATGAGCAAGCTACAGATTCAGAACATTATGTGCTAGATAAAATAGCATTTCTGTTCATAGCGATGTAAACATGAATTGCACGGGGTACAAGTTAAACAGGAAGAAGTCATATAAGGTTTATAATTTCTGAAACAGTGTTTCTTTTGTAGCAGTTGAGTCCAGGCATGAATGAAATTCCTTTGACAGGTGCAGGTGTGATGGGCACAAGAATCTGACACTGTTAAAGGTGCAGGAAGGTGCAATTCAACATGACCTTACAGAACATGCCAAATAACTCTACAGTACAAGAATGTAACGACACAAACACATTCCAGGTGAAAGTTCTAACTAACCGAACATCAGAAAATCAGAACAAATGGAAGTCCAAATTATAGGGAATTTTAGGGAAGAGAATCTTCACTAAAAGCTTACACACACAAAAAGACCCATTTGACAATAACATATAGCATTAGATGTTTTACTAGCATTTAATTAATGCACACATGAACATATTACCAGCTGTAATAAGTGTACATTTCTCTGCTGAGTTAAAAGACAGCTTTCAGAATTAGTTGTGAAAAGAGAGAAAGATGGCAGCTAACAGACTGGGAATTTTAGCTGGAGTTCCTTTTAAAAAAAAAGAACTTGAAACCACAGTGACAATCAACAACAAAAAAGAACAACTAAAAGAGGACTGATTGATTGAATGGATGTTTACGTCAATCCTTTCCTAATGACAGTTTAGCAATTTGCTAGTGATTTCAATGCTATAATACTGCGCTACTGAGGCAGGACCCGTTGCAAGATCCAGGATACTGAGAGAACCCACTTTACTGAGAGATAGGAAACTGAGACCCAGGGGAAATTTGCACACAGAATGTGTTGCTGTAGCAGGCGGATGAAACAGAGCATGATGCAGGCAAACACAGGCCAAGGTCATTATCCAAAACAAGCGACGGTCGTAACCAGAAAGACACTGTAGCAAAGCACCAGGGGAATGTCCGGGAGATCGGTAAAGGAGACAAGGAAGGGGTCAGAGCCGACAAAAACACAGTAGTCAAAACAAAGCCAAGGGATGAATTTGGGAGAAAAAATGACAGGAGCAAGCAAGCAGGGGTCAGAGTGCCTATAAAGCAAAACGAGAAACAAAGAAACGAAGATGGAGGGGCTCAGTATCTAAACTCAATGATGAAGACTGAGCTCAGTCAAGTCAGAGTATTTACAGTAGAGCACGAGGAACAGGCATAGTCATAAAGCAACTTCAGGTGCCTCCAAGTCTCCAGGTGATTTGTTTTCACGGTAGTCAGTGTAGGAAGACAGGTAGATGATGACATTATTGGTTGACACAACTAGCTCACCCGACAAAACAACAGCCGGGGGAAGCATAACAAATAATACATTCGCCACATCTGAGATGCTGATGTGATGGAAAGATATAGTTAGAAATAAAGCAAATTCATTTAGTCAAGGAAATCATAAATGCTTAGGAGGAAAATCAAATGTCAATTAAACATAAAGTGTTGTCATAATAGCAAAAAGAGTAAGGAGAAAAAAAATGATTGAACATTTCATGGCTGGGAGAAAGGGTGTTTGGCAAAATTAACTACAATTTTTAAAATGTAACAGTAAAACATTGAGGAGGTGATTTAAAAGGTTTGGAGCTGTCTCCCCAATATAAAAAGCAAAATACAGGAAATTGTACAGTAAATGTATAAAGAAACTGCTCACACGTCAAACTGCACAAAATATTCGATTTTTCAAATTTTATGTTTGGCTCTGAGTCTATGATTTGATTTGCCCAAGTATTTTGGGACAATTAAATGTCAGGTTGTTCCAAATAAAATGTTTGATTTGAAATAAAAATAGGCCAAAAAATAAAACCAGACAAGATCTGGGCATACAATGTAACATCCTTCCTCTCTTTCCAATTTAATCTGTTTCTTTTCATATGTTATTCATTTTTATATCTTAATACATTCAGTCAGTGCCATTCTTACCCTCTTTAATAAAAGAGCTTGAATGATATTAATCATAATAGTAAAGAGATAGAGCAAAGATATATGGAGTGCTCTTGTTGACCTGGTTTCTGTCAGGAGAACATGTGAAATCATATTTAGTAAGGATTCTGTCTGTTACATTGTATCATTGGATTTTAATTTCTAAACTGAGGTTCCTCTGCCTTCTAATTAAGCCTTTGAAGCTTGCTATGTCTGACCTGTGGATAATCCCTCCCATCACTGGGCAGAACCAAGAAACCAGAATGAGGATAGAGAAGAGGGAATTAATTCAAAGAGTACAGGGCAACCAATTGTTAAAACTATCTTCAAAATTGTCTCCTTGCCATTAATTGGAGGTGTTTGTTTATTACTTAATGAATAAGTGCTAACTAATTCACTTAGTAATATAAAGATGTATGGAGTAAAGGAAGTGGTATGTTTGTGCTTTTTGTATGTATATTTTGTTATTGTAAAAAATATTTCCCTGCATAAATGATCAGCTTTCTTGATATATAGTCAATACAAATCTCATTAAAGCAGCATTTTTCAGATTTAGTAGATTGTTTTGTTGGACTTTTAACACATCTCAGCCCATACAACTGTCCTTACACAAACATTTAGTTAATTCCAGTTCTCTGATACTAAAACACAGCATTAAATACTACTGTCTTTGTCAAAAACAGACACAGCAAAAGTAGATCAAAAGACAATATCATTTTAAAAAATAGGAGCTGCAGATATTCTATTTTATTGCAAAAAATTAACACTAAGCTTTTTATGACTAAATCTGGTATTTATTGCTATATAAATATAGAGTTTTTAAAAGCATCTTTCATATCAACATCTTCATAAATTTACTGAAGATGGTAAATAAATGAGATTCCCTGCTATGTTAATGTAAAAATCACTGATAATCTTGAAAGTGACAGACTCACGTAACAGACCATAATGGCCTTGTCGTTTTTCATGAAAATGGGGGATGGAACAGCACCTAATTTTGGAATCTCTCTGTTATGGTTGTCAGCTCACAAATAACGCCTGACATGACCTCAATGAACTTTCTGATTTATGGGAAACAATAACTGGTAAAATCTATTGTCATTTCCAAATGTTTCATTAGCATGCATGACAGAATATTTTCTCAGATTAGATTAAAAACCAAGATTGTTTTCTTAAATAGAATGGCCAGGTCAATGCCTTTCAAAGCCTTTGACTTTAACACTCACACCTTGATCAATATGATGGATTAATGTTTTTTCTCATCAACACAAACAATTACCTTGTTGAAGTGACATTATTCAAGATACAATGGATCCCATGTCACATTTCTTAGTTCTTTTATTATTTAAATCATATTTGTCTTCACATTATGTGATTTTCATTTTTAGGCTACCTCATTTGTTTACATTGGAAAGCCATTTTAATTTAATGACAACATTAAAAGTTTTGCTTCTTTTTCAATGGGAGGAGATGTATACCGAGATATATATTGTAATCCAAAACATAATGTCTCGTGATCTAAAACCTATCTTTATATTTTCAATTTGACTTGATTTGCAGCCATCCTTTTTTAAAAGCCGTCCAAAGCTGTCCAAACTGAATTGTACCAACTACCAATCTGACCTGGTCACCTATTTCTGTACTCATGCACTTCCTTAATGTGCAGTACCATCCCAGTTGTATATGCACACTATAATTATTATAGCTGACATTGCTGAATAAAAAGAAGCAACTTTTGCATGTTTTAGCAAAGGTGGTAATAATTATGTTTGACTGGAGAAAATACTTTTATTTTTGGTGGAGACTGATATATGTTATAATACTTATTCATTAATGCTCTCGTTAAATTGGCTAGTGACCTGAGTATATTTTAATAATTAAATGATGAATTAAATTGTAAGACTAATTGTTATGATGTGACTTGCTGAAGGAGATAGCCGCATCTTACTGATAGACTGGGGAACTCCATTGCAAAGAGCCCGGTGGGGCTCAGTGTAAGATGGAGGCCGGTTGTGATAGTTGAGGTGGTTTGAAGAACGGAGGCTGCCTGAGATCTACACCTACTCTTGGAAATGCACTTGGTTTCAGAGGAAATCGAGGGGTGAAAGATCTGTCCCTACCAGGAATGACACATATTTAAAATGCTTTTCTCAGGTGGAGAAGTACTCAATATTGTGTAATGTGCAAAGGGGAAAGAGGGAGTAATCCCACACTTCTGGTTCCATAAGCAAGCATCTCAAGATTAACACCTTGGCAACTCCCATTATGCTTGCGTCACAGGTCACAGTGGAAAGGTTGGTGATGAAGTACATCATGAAAGGTCTCAAACCACTAAGTGTTGTTCTGGTACCAGTGTGTACAGACCTATTTGCAATAAGCAGCCTATTTATATAATAATTTCAAGACCCCCCATTTCTACTTAAATCTTAGAAACTGCCGAAAGTATGAAAACAAATTTGATTCTAGCTGTGAGTGAAGTGGAATGTACTGCCTACAACACAGACTGCTAGAAGCTAGAAGCTAGAAGATGCAGCTACTGTATATTGGAGTGATGGTTCACTGGATTGATCCAGTGACATCTGTTCAGAGTAACAAATATGGAAGATATATTCATTAGTACCACCATAGAAAATTACTCCTGAAATATTTAGTGATTAAAACTGCTATTTGGTCCAGAACATCAAAGAACAAAAAAAGGAACCAAAGGAAGATGTTCATGAAGAAAGTGAAGTTGAATGCCAGATTTTCTGAACATGGATAACAGCCTTGTGTACCAGGTACCATTGTGCTTGCCACCTCTGAAACCTGGTGTTATCTTTAGATTTATTACAGGCTGAATCTAATTACAACTACAAAATGCTTTCAAGGTCTTCTTTTGCCAAATCCCAAACTCCGTGGAATAAAAGTATGCAGATAAAATTATGGAGTCAGAATGCAAGCTGAAGTTCACCAGACAAGATATAACTCTATGTTCATGGCTGTGGAAAGCCTTCTGTATGTACTGAAAGAAAAAGGACAGGGGGCCATCAGGCATGTGCATACAGCCTTCAAAATTAATATGTGAACAGCATTTCTTTGATAATGATGTATTTATAAACATTCCTTTACAATCTGCTGCTAAATCCAGCAGAGTTGGCTTTTGTGACTAAATATACTACTGCCATAGCCCCAGTAGGCATTAAATATTCTTCAAGGTAAGACCAACACACAGGTAGGATGTCTGCTGCCTACACTATTGGACAGTTGGACTCAAACCTTGAGAGGATCAAATTTTCCTCTGTGATCTGTAGCTCACTGCTACATGTGCCTCAAGGTAACATTCAGAGGAATTTTGGCAAAATTCTTGAGGACCCAGAGTTGAACTCAGCTGCCACCTTACTGGCAAAGTTCAAGACTGCTTGGTCCAAGAATGATGCCATCATCAAATAAGATGAGGGAGTCTACTTTAGTACAGTCAATTGAAGCTGGCTCTTTCATTTGGGTTATGGTAATGACTGGAGTGATGCATCCTGAGCCAAAGGCTCTAATGAAAGTTAAGGTCATGTATCACACAGTGAAATCTCTAAAAGGGTCTCTATTGCTATGATACATTTTTTTTTTGGCTTTCAAAAACCTTTAATCATTAATTTACCTCAAACATGCATGATTTTGTCACCATTAAGTGAGAATTGTTTTTATAAATCACATGCATAAATATAAAGGTGCAAGTGATTAAATTAGAAATTATATGTTCTCTGTCTTTTTACAAAACATTATTTCACAATTTTTAACATTTGATTCTAGAATCATTTCATGAATTGTTTTATTTATAAATAAAGGCTGAGATTATAATTGATTTCCTGATTTGAACATTTAAATATAACAATAAGTCTGGTCACAATCATAGTGCTGCTGATAAATTTATCTGGTTTGAAATTCAAGGTAATAGCAGATTTCCATAAATTAGAATTTTAGGACAGCTACATATTTAGGATAGGGAATTAGACACTTACTTACACAAGGAGTTGTGTGGGTTTCTAGAATGGGCTTCCCAGCCAAGAAGATGGAGCCCGAACTCTGGGCCCTTTAATAAAGCTTGACAAAAATTTTAGATCCACTTACAGTAGCTACTGAACTACCAAACAAGAAAGATAAACCACATTTTCTCCTCTCATTTGCAACCTTCTATTTTTCAAATTAGACTTTAGAAAAACACAGAAAACAGGAGTTATCAGCAAGTGCATTCATTTTTGGATATGTGTTATCCTTATTTAAGTAAAGAAATGTTGCCTTTGCCTTTTACAATTTATTTTGAGCTGGTAAACTATTTCAAACTTTCAACTAGCAAAAATCTAAAGCTAGAGCCCGGCTAGAAATTGGAAAACAATAGACTGTGACCACTAATTTTAAAAGTTTTTTTTTTTGTAAAGATGATGAAAATCATACTTCGCCAAAGCAAGATTTCTTTAAAAAACAAAAGATATTCCATTGAATAGTTTAGACTCATGAAGCAGTTTAATTGTGATTAGAATGATGAGTTCATCTCTAAAATCATTGCATTTGATTCGCTTTTCAACAGCAACATTTGCCAGGAAATATATTGAGGATAAAACTTACTTGTTCAGTTTCATGATGAACATTTTGATATGGCTGAAATCAGGTCGATCTGCTGGATCTTCAGCCCAACATCCCTCCATAAGGATGGCCAATTCCTCACTGTGGAAATTAATGTCAGTGGTGGGTCGAAAGTACGGCTTCTGTCCATTCCTCACCTTTTGTACAATCTCTGAAATTAAGCAAAGGGTGAAAGTAAATAATTTACATTTCTGTATGGATTGTTTGGGAAAATGTATGGATGCAATCTCCTGGTAGCAAGCTATTTATAGAATTAAATTTCTTGTATGCTTGTCATTTGTTTGCCACAGTGATCATGTCTGTCAGAAAGATTAACTTCACCCGCATCAAGATGACAGATTTGACACAGGCATTGTGAATGGTTTGTGCTCACTGTCATTGCATCAATATAATTTGATTTCATAATTCAAAAACAGCATAACGCACTTTGACCTCTCTAGACACTTTGGATTGGATGTATTGATGTGTGTTGCATCAGAAGATGACACAGCAGGGGAAGCTTTCCACTGTAGATCTTTCTGCAGCTTTCACAACTGTGAAGAAAGTGTGGATAAAAACCTCATCTCCATTTCATGAACACGATGACTGAGGGATGCATGACATTAATATGTAAATAGAGGCAAAATTCACATAAATTGCAGCACCCTAATTTGCTGGATGAAGTGATAGTCACAATCCTTCAAGTTGATTGCAATACTCCACAGCTTCATAAGATCAAAATCAAAACAAAACTGACATTTAATTATAAGACTCTGTTTTTCTTGTAAATGCAATGTACTGACCTACATAAATAGAGGTATTAGCATCCTAAGTACAATGCTTACTATGGAGTCAATTTATTAAAGTAAATTCTATCAATTACTAATACCACTCTTTATAATATAACCATAGCAGATCTTAGTGATATTGATACCATTATTGTGCCAGGACATTACCTGAGATTATGTAAAACTGTTAACAGTTGGCAATGATTATATGATGATATATTTATGCCATTCCACAACATTATAAAGATCATCACAGCAACACATTAACTGTCTCTGTTCAATAACATTCCCAGCCATAGATTAGATGCAGATTAGATTAATTTAAATGTAAAATTATAAATAACAATTGCATGGACTTAATTTCACTGAGAAAAAGGTGGTTAAAGTAACGTACTTGATGAAAAAAACTAGGTAAATTATCACAAATGGATATTTATGACAGTGCCTATTCAAAACAAAAGATGTGGCCACATATGGTAATCATTACTTATTACAATTTGGACTTTTACTGCAGTAAAAGTTATTCCTGCTAGTGTTGTTGCCGTTGTTATGGCAATGGATGCAATTTTCTCGAGAAGATGTTTGTTCCTCATTATTTTTAAGCAGATGTTCAGAAGCAATTAAGTTACTTCAGCTAATTTTCTATAGTCATTAGGGTGGCTTAAGAAAGTGTGATTTATGTCTTAAAGGCTTTCAGGCCAACATCACTCCAAACATAAAATTAAGGTTTGATGAGAACAGTTTTATCATAGAGGTGCATCCAAAAAAACACAAAATATACAGAACAGACAACACAGCCAAAACAATATCAATACAAATATTTTTTTTGCGCTTTGCAGAATGAAATGGAATCATTTTAAGGTAGGCAGCAGCCTAAAAACACATTATGTAATGAATTATTGGTTTAATATCCCTTAGGATTTTTAATTATTCTAGACTTCTGTGTTTTCCTTTTTTCAATTACATGTGTGTGGTAACAAAAGGAGTGATAACTAAAGATAATGAAACTAGGCAACAACGATAATCTGATCGCACCGATAGGCAGGATGAAAACATCCCCCCGTCTAAATAAATGTCTAAATAAATCCAGACCTAGACCCCTGCCATGCACTTCCCAGAAGAGTACTGAAATCAAATCCTGATTCTTTCCTCCTATTTATAACATAAGATTTTCTAGACATTTTCAATTTAAGAACAGAAAAGGCTTTTTACAAGTTACTGGTTTTATAGATGTGAAATTTTCAAATCACTGTATAATGAACTGTACAAGATTTGCACTTTGTATCTGTTACCTTTTGGGCTAAGATCCATTCCTTCGATATAAAAGGGGCCATTTCTAAGAGCAATCTCTTGAAGGATAATCCCAAAGCTGTATACATCTCCTTTCTGTGTCCCTTGAGGAGGAACTCTTTCATATCTCAAAAACTCTGGGGCAGTCCACAGCTTTTCTGAAAGATACAAAGATACATACAAGCATGGACATTGAAATCTGTGTTTCCAGATATCACTACAACTAAAAAAGGCTGTAAGCAAAGGGGTCTGTCATGGAATTGTTAGATATTGTGCAATAGAGGTTCCCCTTTAAATTATACAAGCGTTAATCTGGTCTTCTTGAACCCTTCAAGGCAGTGCATTTCTGGTTAGCTGACAAACTACACCAAACAGTAGCAGCTCATTTCATAGGATTTGTAACTTGAGCTGTTCAAATGAGTCCATTCACATCCAAAGCATGTCACTTGCAGCTTTCAACACAATTTTCCTGTTTCACTTTAACTTTTTATTAATAACAAGAAAACAAACAATTACTGTATAAAGTGAAAATGAATGAAGAGTACAGCAATAAGAATTAATAATGGATACATGTAACAGGGCATCTGGATGTGGGAGGTTGATGGGGATTTTGGACATTTTAGGGACTTAGGGACACCCCAGAGAAAAGTAAAAGGGTACAGTATAGCAGAAGATAGATAAAAGGATTAAATCAGCCTAATAGTGACAAATCCCTCTATCAAAATTTAAGAAGGTAAAGAAGA